GTTTTTGGGGACCCAGAGGGACGTCCAGGCCCACCGTGGTGGCTCAGGGGATTTTTGGTGGCTCAGGGGGATTTTTGGTGGCTCAGGGGGATTTTTGGGGAGCCATTTGGACATCCAGGCCCACCGTGGTGGCTCAGGGGATTTTTGGGGACCCGGAGGAACATCCAGGCCCACCGTGGTGGCTCAGGGGGACTTTTGGTGGCTCAGGGGATTTTTGGTGGCTCAGGGGGATTTTTGGGGACCCGGAGGAACATCCAGGCCCACCGTGGTGGCTCAGGGGCATTTTTGGGGACCCAGAGGAACATCCAGGCCCACCGTGGTGGCTCAGGGGGACTTTTGGGGACCCATTTGGACGTCCAGGCCCACCGTGGTGGCTCAGGGGGACTTTTGGGGACCCAGAGGGACATCCAGGCCCACCGTGGTGGCTCAGGGGATTTTTGGGGACCCAGAGGGACATCCAGGAGCTCCGTGGTGGCTCAGGGGGATTTTTGGTGGCTCAGGGGGATTTTTGGTGGCTCAGGGGGACTTTTGGGGACCCAGAGGAACATCCAGGAGCTCTGTGGTGGCTCAGGGGATTTTTGGTGGCTCAGGGGAGTTTTGGGGAGCCATTTGAACATCCAGGAGGTCCGTGGTGGCTCAGGGGGATTTTTGGTGGCTCAGGGGGATTTTTGGGGACCCGGAGGGACGTCCAGGCCCACCGTGGTGGCTCAGGGGGATTTTTGGGGACCCATTTGGACATCCAGGAGCACCATGGTGGCTCAGGGGATTTTTGGTGGCTCAGGGGGACTTTTGGGGACCCATTTGGACGTCCAGGCCCACCGTGGTGGCTCAGGGAGATTTTTGGTGGCTCAGGGGAGTTTTTGGGGACCCAGAGGAACATCCAGGCCCACCGTGGTGGCTCAGGGGATTTTTGGGGACCCAGAGGAACATCCAGGCCCACCGTGGTGGCTCAGGGGGATTTTTGGTGGCTCAGGGGGATTTTTGGTGGCTCAGGGGACTTTTGGGGACCCATTTGGACGTCCAGGCCCACCGTGGTGGCTCAGGGGGACTTTTGGGGACCCAGAGGAACATCCAGGCCCACCGAGGTGGCTCAGGGGGATTTTTGGTGGCTCAGGGGATTTTTGGGGACCCATTTGGATGTCCAGGCGCACCGTGGTGGCTCAGGGGAGTTTTTGGGGACCCAGAGGAACATCCAGGCCCACCGTGATGGCTCAGGGGGATTTTTGGTGCCTCGGGGGGATTTTTGGTGGCTCAGGGGGATTTTTGGTGGCTCAGGGGATTTTTGGGGACCCAGAGGAACATCCAGGCCCACCGTGGTGGCTCAGGGGGATTTTTGGGCGCAGCTGCGGCAGGAGGTGGTGGTGTGCATGCGGCGGGACACGGCGCTGGAGACGGCGCTCAACGCCAAGGCCTACAAGCGCAGCAAGCGGCAGTCGCTGCGCGAGGCCCGGATCACCGAGAAGCTCGAGAAGCAGCAGAAGATCGAGCAGGAGAGGAAGCGCCGGCAGAAGCACCAGGTGGGGAAGAATTCCAGCGTGGGACGTTCCCG